TTTTTTTTTTTGGTCTTGGAAATTAGCTGAGTTAGCTGAATCTTCCTAGATCAGTGGAGGGAAGCCAAAAGTAGTTCAAAATGCTGACTTTCTAGAAGCTAAACCCAGCTGGAGAGTATTTCAGACCACATAGAAAACTCTTTCCCTTCACATTTTGATTCCTTCTCAGTCCTCCAAATAAACCACTCTTACAATTAAACCTCCTTATATTCATAAGGCATTTCCTAAGTGCCCTGAGATATCCAATAAAATGCACAGCTGGTTAAAGGTTTTCTTTCCTTGTTCCCTGATACAAATTTATATTGGATTTGAGACACTGTCTGGGTGAGACACAAATTATTAGAGTGGTAGCTCTAAACTTGCCTAGCAATTTCACTAAATGTTATTACCTCTTACCATGATATTCAGCATATTCTAGGAAATTTTAGCAAAAAAAGTATTTCCCTTCCACCAGGGTTCTGAAATGCAGACAGTTTTTTTGCTTGTTTACCTTAAAGTTTTTCCTTTCTTAATATGTGTATACATTTTTTGGCACTCTGTGTGTGTGTGTATAAAACACTGGCCCCTTAAAAATGCTTTGGGATAACTGTTACTGGGTTTATTTTATTCTGCTACTAAAACAGAAGTTTCTTAAGGGCAAAAACTGTGCCTTACTCCCATCTATATTTGTTGAAGCTAAGTACCATGCATTTAGCAGGCATGCACATATTTCTTCATTTCAAAGACACAATGGTAGAAAAAGGATTAAAACAAAAACAAACCAAAAAAGCAAGCCTCCTGATTACTACTACTGAGTTAACCATGGGCTTTAAGAGTCTCAGAAACTGGCTCGGCACCTATAGCTCAACCAGCTAAGGCGCCAGCCACGTACACCTAAGGTGGCGGGTTCGGATCCCCAGCCTGGACCCGCCAAACAACAATGATGGCTGCAACCAAAAATATAGCCGGGCGTTGTGGCGGGCGCCTGTGATGGGCGCCTGTGGTCCCAGCTACTTGGGAGGTGGAGGCAGGAGACTCGCTTGAGCCCAGGAGCTGGAGGTTGCTGTAAGCTGTAATGCCACGGCACTCTACCCAGGGGGACAGCTTGAGGCTCTGTCTCAAAAAAAAAAAAAAAAAGAGTCTCAGAAACTCTGAAGGCAGATGATCAGTCATTTAGATACTCTCACTTCTATTTGGCCTGTATATCCTTAATAGACAAGTTTAAATCAAAAGACTTGAAATTTAAGCAAATCTATTTCCAGTAAAGTGCAAAAGAGGAACCAAAAAGCAGCTGCAGTGTTCACTATCATATATTTTACTTCCTTAGAGAAAACCAAAGAAGGAATAGCTACATCAGAGAATATTGGCGAAACTTTCCATGTTCTCAATCTTAAATTTGATTGTTTTCCTGGTTATTTTTAAGAAAAAAAAATTAATTCTAACTTTCTCTGCTAAGTCTTTTATCATCAAATTATCTGTTGTCTATGTCTAAGAGCACAGTCACATGCCTAGAATTGAAAGTGTCTCAGATCCTCAATAAGCCTGCTCAGAAAAAAAGAATTGGTGAGCCACCAAGAATTGATCTTGGGCCAGGAAATCTGGAAAAGAGCACATGACTATCATTGCCTACTCAGTAATTTTCAGTCATCTTAGACTGCTTGTTGCATGTTAATTGGAAGCCTTAACATTTCCTTTACAGACTTCCCCCAAGTACTTTCACATAGTTAAGAATATGAATTTAAATTATACCTTGGAAATTTTACACAGTGGCCTAATATACAACTATACACAATCATTAATTCAAACAGAGTCAACAGCAGCAGGGAGACTGGAAGGTATGGAGATTTTAGTGAATGTTTGGATTGAACAGGGAAAACAAGGAACCAAAACACACACTACAGCTTAACTCTAAAGTAACTGAGCAATGAAAGAATTTAAAGTGGAACTAAGTGAATGCAGGCCATCTTAAGTAAGGGTAGGAGTGGATATGTGTGGTGAGAATGAACAGAACTTAAGGATAGGTAATACAGAGCTAGTTAGTGTAAGTCAAAAGATCCTATTTAAGACCAAAAGAAAGCCTGTGTCATTTTATGGTCATTCAAGTATTGATCTCTACAAAAGATCTAGAAGCTACTTGATAGCAGCTTAATCATAAAACCCTGCAACTCTTTGGAAAAAACCTTCAATTCCAGGCCAATATACTATATAATGTTTAAGGGCAGGGAATAATGACCAAAGTCTCTCATGTCGGTTTTAAGCTTTAGAGTTTACAGAGTGCAATTTCGCAACTATTATTCACTCAACATGAACTTCCTGAGCACTCATAATGTGCCAGTGCTGAGCGCTGGACAGAGATGAACAACATAAGCAATCCCTGTCCTGTCAAGGCTCATAATCTAGTAGGTTCGCTATGCAAGAACAAAGGCAAACATGCCAAGCTGTGCGAATAAGAAAGAGAAAGCAATTTATTCTGCCTGGGACTGTGGAAGAACGGAAAGCACTAACAGGTGACATCAACAAACTCAGCACAGTTGCGTGCTCTGCCCAGCTTCTGAGAGGTGTACAGCCCCGGAATATGGCAAGGGTCTGGATCCGGAAGTTGGGAAGAGGCCTAAGACGAGACCGACTCCCTCCAACGACCCACCGGTCTCTCTCAGCCACGCCCTCTGGCTCACGCTTCTGAGTCACTCACCCGCCGCTGGGTGAGAGGAAGTCGGTGTCGTCCTCGTCCCCAGCACCAAACATCGTGTTGGCTTACACCTGGAAGCAGGGAGAAAACTGGACGTTCCCTGGAACCAGGGCCTGTCACCGCTGACGTCGTAAAACGCCGCGGCAGCGTGCTGCTTGCCGGCAGGGCGAACTCTCGCACGGTTCCTCCGCGAAAAGTAGTCTAGCCTGTGGAGAGGTGGGGCAAAGGCAAATAAGAGGTTCTCTCAGGGCACGCGCACGGCTTGACGTCAGGCCTTTCCAACCCTCAGGGAGGGCGGGGTCCAAAGTTCTTGCGCCAGCATTGGTCGGTGGGTCAGGGGGCGGGGCAGGGGCGGGAATCCTCGGCCTCGGTGGCGGTCGTGGACACGTCGAGCCCGGCAGAAGTGGAGGGGGCTTCTGAGGAGTCGGGACGGGGTGACAGGTTAAGATTCTGAGAGGGAGGCGCCAGTGGCTGGACTCGACCTAGGAAGGTAAGGCCTTTCCCGCCCTCTCTCGCAACCCTGGCATCGGCACCGTCCTTTTCCCTCCAGACAGGACCCTGCTCGCCACTCTACTCAGCTCCGCGGAAGGAGAAGGAACCCGGGACTGGGAAGATTGGAGAGCTGGGCTTCGGCCTGACCCCTGGAGTGACCTTGCGGCTGGGTGCTCGGTGCCTCAGTTTCCCTGTCTAGGAAACGGGCCATTTGTGCTTCCATGTGCCGGCTGGTCCAGAAGCTTTTAGACCTCACAGGTCGTCCAATTCCATCCTGGTCTCGTAATCTCTCAGAATTTACAGATAGGGAAACGTAGAAACTGAGCACTTGGAGTGCGTGACTAGTCCAAGGTCACAAAGAGTAAAGGGCAGACTGAGACTGAACTGCTGGTCCTTTGATTCAGGTCTTAGTGAGCTGACGGGTGAACAAGAATCTTACTAGCCCTTAAACACTGTTCCTTTACAGAGTGGTTGTTGCTAGACTATGCCATACATTTTCTAGAGTCTACCTGTATGCCACACAGGTGAGGTTTAGGGGAGCCAAAATATTCTGGGGTGGGTGATGGAAAGGAGGCAACTTTGGAGGCAGAAAAGCCCGTCACAACCTCTGGAGTTTGCGGAGTCTTCCAGATACAGTCCTACCTCAACATCTATTGTTGCCGACTCCTCTGCCTCCAAATTCCACCCTCTTTGTATCTGACGTAAGTATTTCTTTGGTTAACCTGGTATCATTCTTGGAACAATCTCAGGACAGGACAGGTTTTGCCGAGGTGTGGATAATTAGATAGTGTCCCAGTGTAACTTCCATGTGTCCACAGATCTCACTGGAGCTCTTAGACTTAGGGCTTTCCCTCACGATCGAGTTGGTTCTACAGGTGTCCCTTATCTGAATGTTTTAATCTGTTAATATGAAATTGAAGTGACCTGATAGGTAGTTCCCTCCCAGAGAATTTTGCACCTCTTAACGTATCCCCTGTTCTGCTTTTTATTACAGTTTGCGTACTCCTAAATTGTAAGCCTTCATGTCCATAGTGGGGTCTCATGGTTCTTCATTAGATTTAATAATAAAATTCATCCTTGTTCCCTCATTCCTTAATTAATAATCTTAGGATCTTTTTCCCTTGTGACCCAGAGAGCCCAATGAGAGTTCTTGCCTTTTATAAGTAGCTTCCAGAAAGGTAAAAATGCTGTACTGGCTGTGAACTCTCTGGGTTGCTTAGTCTCTTTTGTTAATTGAAGGTGACTATACTATTGTCTAAACTCTAAAGCTCCAGGGGAGGGAGAAGAGTGGAATAGGATGACTAGAAATATTATATGTAATTGTAATTTTTGTAAGTAATTTAGTCCTCTGTTTAATGGAGGATAGGGCTCTTGGTGTGTTTATAGATTGAGATGGTTTGAATGAAGGCTGACAGTTGCAGTGATGCACCTGGAATCTAACACTAGAACTGGAACCTGTTGCAGTAGGTCTGTTTAGAGTGTGAACTTGGCTTGGCTTTCTGGGAAAATGGGGAGTGAATTAGATAAGTGCCGTAGCACTTCCTAACACCTCTCCCCAGTACTGGTCACTGTCATTGCACCACTGAAATATCTGAGTAGTGCTTAAAAAAAAAATACTAAGGGAATATTTGAGCCCTTAGCTTGCATTTTTGGGTGGAGGTGTTTTTATCCTGACTATTAGTAGTCTTTTTGGTGATTGGAACACCACAAACATGCATATCCAGATGTGTAGGAACACAGCTGCTGATCTTCATTGGCAGTATGAGGAAGAGAAAAATGATGGTGAGTCTTCCTCAGACTTTGAACTGCAAGGTTGAGGACACCCAAATAGCCAATGCTTTTTTGGAGGGATGGTGGGAGACAGATTCTCATTCTCACTCTACCCTCAGTAGAGTGCCTTGGTGTCATAGTTCACAGCAACCTCAAATTCTTAGGCTCAAGTGATCCTCTTGCCTCAGCCTCCCAAGTAGCTGAGACTATAGGCATTCACCACAATGCCCAGCTATTTTTTCAGAGATGGGGGTCTCAGTCTTACTCAGGCTGGTCTCGAACTCCTGAGCTCAAGCAATCTACCTGCCTCAGCCTCCCAAAGTCCTAGGATTACAGGCGTACTATCTCTCATTCTTACTGTTTTGTAAACTTAGCTCCCACCCTAAAGATGCCTATCTTGAGTAGTTTAGGTGGATTGATTTAGAAGATTAATTTTTAAATTGGAATGTTGTATATTCCTATGGTCACTGAATTATAGTACTATTATAGTACTATTTAAATTACTATTTAAAATAAAGGTTAATGTGGTCTTTAAACTTTTATATAAAAAACTCTGATTTTGGAAATGAAAGAACAGAACAGTCTTAGAAAGGCTACTCTCACTATTCTCCAGAATCCTGACCTTCTGGCAAATAAGGTTTGGTGAACCTGTCCCAGTCTCTCTGCACATTGGCTGACAGTGACAGACAGCTGGACCACGTTCGTCCGGTAACACATTGTCTTCCTCAATTAGTATATCTTCAGATTGGTAATCTTGGACTAGAATTCAAGAAACTTGAATTCCTGTCCCAAGTTGCCTTCTAACTCAACTCTAAGCTTGGGCAAGACTCCCTAAACACTTTGTAAAAGGAGTAAATTAGATCTAAACATCTACCAAGTACTGCTGGGGATACAAAGGTAAGTAAGGCACCCTTGTTTATTTGTTTCACTTAAGTACCATGCCTTTTTTTTTTTTTTGTCTTTTTTTGAGACAGAGCCTCAAGCTCTGGGTAGAGTGGGTAGAGTGCTATGACATCACCGCTCACAGCAACCTCCAACTCCTGGGCTTAAGCAATTCTCTTGCCTTAGCCTCCCAAGTAGCCACAACACCTGGCTATTTTTTGGTTGTAGTTGTCATTGTTGTTTGGCAGGCCCGGGCTGGATTCGAGCCCACCAGCTCTGGTGTATATGGCTGGTGCCTTAATTGCTTGAGCTACAGGCGCCTAAGTACATGCCTTTTAGATGTATTCATAAAATTCATTGACCTCCTGAAGTTTGACCAGGAGCAGCAGTTTTAATAATTCCTTTCAAATTTTCAGCAGTTTTGTAGGAGATGACAATCTGTGTATACAGGTATACCCATACTGATCTATATGGGTCAATGCTTTTTAAAATGAATAGTTTAAAATTACAACTAAGTTATATCACAGGTATAGTAATAGGGATATAAATTTATATAGAAGTTCTGGGGACTCAATATCACAGTTCTATTTACTCAGTCACTAATTTTTAGAGCCATTTGATGGTTAGCTAAGAAAATAAGCTAAAGCAGGAAATCATACAGATATTGGGTACATATATTTTTATTTTAACCGAAAACATAAACATTCTTTTTTGCCTTTCTTTTAACATAAAGGCCTCAGCCTTTACTTGGAGTGTGGGATCAAAAAACTACAGCTTATAGGCCAAATCTTATCCCAGCCTGTTTTAGTAAAGAAAGTTTTATTGAAACACAGTCCTGCTCATTTGTTTGTATATTATCTATAGCCACTCTTACCTATAAAGCAGAGTTGAATAGTTGCAACAGAAACGTCATGGTCCCCAACACCTAAAATGTTTACCATTTGTCCCTTTACAGAGCTTGCCAACTCCCCTAGTCTATATCATCTTTGGTATTTTTAACATGGAGTGAGTAAATTCACTTACAAAGCAGGCTGAGTGCATAATCTTTGTAGGTGTTTATGAAATTTCCCCCAGCCTTAACAGTCGTCTCTCTCATACCTAATAGTAAACTGGTTTGTTATCTGTGTGACTCACCTTTGTCTAGTCTTTCTAAAGCATTCAACATGACTTTTATAGAAACAAATACTTAAATTCTTAAGCTCTGGAGCCAAATTACTTTCTGCTTTATTAGTTGTATAGGCCGTTGGGCAATTTGCTGAGTTTCTGCCTTTGTAAAATAGGGATAATTATAGTATCCATTTCTTAGGGTTCTTGTGAAGATTATGTGAGGTAATTCATGTAAAGCACTTAGAACCATGTCTGGCAAATAGTAGGTACCCAATGTTAACTGCTGCTAGTGAAAGCACATATAGTGAGAATAAGATGGGAGTCAGTCAGGCTAGGGCCAACATGACACTGCTGGTCTGGTCACTTCAAGTCCCTAGTGACTTTTACCTCCTATCTCCCATTAACTTTTGAATGTTGTAATAGGTGGCTGAGCTATGCTGATTATTATTTAAAATAAGAGTTAGTGTGATCTTTGCTTTGAACTTTTGTGTATAAAACTGTGATTTTGGAAATGGAAGAACAGAACAGTCTTGGAGAGGCCACTCTCCTTGTTCTCCAGAATTGCTGGCCTTCTGACAAAGTTTGGTGGACCTGTCCTCCCCATCTCTGCATATCGGCTGGCAGTGACAGGTGGCCAGACCCTCTTCATCCAGTAACTATCATTTTTTTCTCTTCTCATTTATACTTCATTGCTTTACACAATAATTAAATTATATATATAATAATAAGCACAACTGGCATTAATTAGTTTATGAACAAAGGTAACACCCTTGATAAACATACAGCTTCACTGAGGAAGATACCAGAAGTATTACATCTTGGAAAATAGCCCATCCAGTGTGTTGTCAGTTAAGTTGGTTAATAGATCTCTGTGAGATAGTTTGTTAAGACTGTGAGACAACAGTACACATAGGGAAGTAGTGGATTAAAACTGAAAAGGAATCCAGGGCTATATTTGTTAAATTCCTTGACAGCCAAGGTGACAAATTTGTACTTAGCTCAGAAGGAAATGGAATTTTTTATTCTAAATGAACATGACTGACATTAAAAAATGTAAATGGCTTACCCAGTATATGAAGTAAAGATTTGAAGTTTTCCCAGCCCCATTCCTTGTCATTAACCACTTCATTTTGCTCATCATCCCTGGAATCCTTGTGAGAAATGACTGAGAAAAGGCATGTGAGCGCTACTTGAGGCACTGGTACTAATCTGTTAAAGGTTTCAACTCTGTTCTCTTTT